GCTTTTTGGCATTTGGATTAAGTCGGATGACCACCTTTCGAAGGGTCCCACAGCCGGTAAAGGACGCTGAAGTCCAGTTTCTTGATTCTCATGGGGCCTTTCGTGTAACTGACACGAGGCGCAGGTACGGATATAACTCTGTACATCCTCATACCGTCGGGGCCACCAACCTCTACCTCTAAGCACCTGTAGTGTGCAATCTCGTCCCCTATGACCTAACTCGTCGTGAACGGAATAGAGAAGGTCAAACCGATACGCAAACGCGACGAATGGCGAACGTTCTTTTAATCCTCGCCGGCCCAGATAGATCAAGGTCTCGGCAGCCGGATCGTACTCGAAGTACTTCTTATTCTCCCTGGCTCGGATCACCAGACGCTCTGGTATCCCCTCAGGTAAGTCTCTCCCATCTTCTAAGTACGGGATGATCAAAGGCCAATCAGACTCGTGGAGCTGATCGGTCACTTCTTCTAGTAGGGCCAAGTCACTCCTGCGGGACAAGGCATCAGGAACGACGTTGTCGACTCCTTTCTTATAGCGGACCTCGATATCCATTTCCGCGAACTCTTCAATCCATCGGAGCAATCGTTTCGTCGGTAGGAGCTGGGTCGAGAGGTACGCTAAAGACGCATGATCCGTATAAACCACCGTCGTTTCAACTGCCCCGTCAAGGTAAACGTGCCACTTCCGCCAGGCGTGAATTATGGCCAACAGTTCTCTCTCTTGGGCCGGGTAGTTGATCTGGGCTTTATTCAGTTTGCACGACTCAAATGCTACTGGGTGGAGAGACAAATCGTCCCCATCCTGCAACAGAACAGCACCGACTGCGAAGTCCGACGCGTCCGTCTCCATGACAAACTTTTTGAGCACGTCTACCAGCTGCAACACAGGTGAGCTGATCAGAGCTTCTTTTAACAGTTGAAAGGCTGCCTCCTGCTGGGGCTTCCATTGAACTGACTGTCTCTTTGTGACTCCTCCAGCAGTTAAGTCATGTAAGGGCGCCGCAATCTTTGCAAAATTCTTTACGTATCTACGATAGAATCCGCACAACCCCAGGAACGAACGGACGTCGAAAACCGTTTGAGGCCTCGGCCAGTCTTGAACGCAACTGAGCTTTTCATCCATTGGCCTAATCGAATTGAAACCAATCACATGCCCAACATACTGGATTTCTCGCAGACCAAAGGAGCATTTAGCTCCGCTGCACTTCAGCTCTTCTCACCGAAGGATCTCGAGGACCGCCTGAACATGTGTAACATGGTCGGCCTCATTCTCCGAATAGATCAATATGTCATCCAGGTACACCTGGACGAACACGTCAATGTATTCCCGCAACAACTGAGTCATCATCCGCTGGAATGTGCTCGGTGCGTTAACTAACCCAAAGGGCATGACCAACCACTCAAAGTGGCCATACTTGGTTCCGAAGGCTGTCTTAGGTATGTCCGTTTCTGCTATTTTCATTTGATGGAAACCCTGTTGCAGATCAATCTTCGAAAAGAACTTAGCGCCCCTCAATGAATCAAAGCATTCTTGGATGATCGGGAGAGGGTGCCGGTCTTTCTTCGTAAGTGCGTTAACCTTACGATAGTCAACACAAAGCCGCACTTTCCCTGACGTTGGATGCTTAACCATGACTATAGGTGACGACCAAGCCGAGGTAGAAGGGCGAATAAACCCAGCTGCCTGGAGGCCTGCCAGCCTTTCTTTCAAGGTGCTCAACAACGCCGGGGACAACTGCCGCACCGGCTGGTGAATCGGCTGTGCTACTCCTGTGTTTACTAGGTGCTCAATAGTACTAGGCTTATTGGAGACCGTTTCTATTGGTCCAAAGACTTCTCCGAAGCGAGTCACAAGAGACTGCAACGATTCTCGGAGTGCGGCGTCGGGACCGAACACTGTAGGTAAGCCCACAGGTTGCTCATCCCTTGGCCCAGCGACCCCTTCTGACTCCATCAAACAGATGAAGGATTCCCTGGCGCCCTCGTAAAACTCGTGGCGTCGGATAGATCGAGGGAGAAATACCTCTTCTTCGTCAGTCATCACAACGAGTTCATGAGTTACAACGCTGCACATGGACGATGATTCTAGACAAAACCGAACCACATTACCACCGTCAGCTCTCAGGTGCCATGTGTTAGAATTCCAGTCAGTCGATACTACGTTGGAAGCTATCCAATCGCGGCCCAAGATGACGTCATAACTGGACAACGGCGCCACCCGGCAGACTACGGAAAAGTGGACTTCCGCTAGATTGAAACGGACGGTGGCCAGTCGATCATCCGATATCTGATCGCCAAAAGCTCCGGTAACTCTGAAAGAATCAGACGAACGAAAGATTAGCAACTCACGATCCGAAACAAAAGACTTAGACACATATGACGATCCAGCGCCGGTGTCGAGGAGGACCCTGGCCAAGCGGCCCTCAATAAGGTGATGGAACTCGGCTCAAACCCCTCGGGGCTCATCAACGGCCGCCTCAACTGAATGAACTCCATCGTCGCACAAACAGTCACTTACGATATCGGTGGCAGATGCCAATGACTCTCCATTGGACACCCTTACAACTTCCGATTCGGCGGTCCCCATGCCTGGGCAACCCGCACTAAACTCAGCTGACTCATTCTCACAGTGATTAACATCACGATCATGCTCACGTAGGTCTTGTTCAATAAGATTGACATTGCTTAAAGAAGAAGAAACTACAACTGCTGTCGGTGGGAGAGACATTTCCTCACCGACTATTCTTTTTTTTCATTCTTTTTCTGGGCGTTTTTCGCCTCCCAAGCCTTTTGAGCTTCGGTCTTGGGCTCAGGGCACTTGTTAACACGGTGCCCCGTTTGCTTACAATTATGGCAGGGATAGCCATTCTTTTTCTTGTCGGAGCCGCCTCCTTCGCCGTCCGCTCGACGCTTGCCCGATCCCGATCCCCCGGCAACTGGCGCCGCTTGCGAGTCTCGGTGGTGCTGGTCGTTGGCGACGGCTGCCATGAAGACTTGATCCATCGTGACCTTTGCGCCACGGATCGTCTCTCCCGTGACAAACTTTGTCACCTCTTTGCTTAGGCCCGGATTGAGCCTCTGGATAAACGCCGTCTGCTCGTCGTGGGCGAAACCGATGGTGTTGGCCTTGACTTGCCAAGCACTGAAACGCTCGTAGAACAGCTGGACCGCCTCGTTCGGTCCCTGGCGCAATCGATTCAACTCCGCCGAAACCAACGCCGGCGTGGTTCCTAACGGGTTTAAGCGTAGGAGCCACGTCTTGAACTGCTCCCAGTTCTTGGGACGCGTGCCAGCGATGGACGACTCGGTCCAATCTCGGAATGTCTTTCCGCTCAACCGCTGTCCGGCGGTTCGGTGCCAGATGCCTGGGTGGGCCTGGCGATCCTCTAAGAGCACGGCGACGGTCTTCAACCAGTCCGCGGCACTCTCACCGACCGCGCCTGAAAACCAAGGACAGTCTCTGTCCGGCCAACCCTTGAGCACTTTGCTGGGGTCGGTCACCAGGGGGAGCTCCATCTCGGGCTCCTCATATTCTGGCTCGGCTGACTCTTCCTTGACAGCGGCGGCAGTCCTGGTCGGGACCGAGGCAGCGTCGTGCCCAGCTGGTTGATTCTTGGGATCAACATTCATCTGTTTAAATGCACCCGTCAGAGATGCTTCAATTCTACCCGCCGTTTTGGAGGACGACGCTTGAGTTGAGGGACCTACAGGATCATCCTCGTAATCGATCAGATCCTCACTTTCCGCTCGGTAAGTTTTTTTATTTTTCTGAGAGAGCCACTGACGTTGAGAATCGGGCAAGTTGGCCACCTCTTCCGCCGTATAGTACTCCTGATTCGCGGGTGCTGGTGGGGCAGTGCCCGGGTCGTCGCCCGTCGCCGCCTTCTTCCCTTTCGGGCTATGCTCGACTTTTCCGATATTCATCTAGTCACAAAGGAGGAGTGGGATACAGAAAGTAAGCTAACTGCTGCTCCTCTTTTCGTCAAAACTTCTCAAGCACTATGCTCAGTCTAGACCTCGACCCCAGAGGTTTCAATCCTTCTGAGCGGATTGATCCCAAAGGAAAAAACAGGACTACTCTACGACTGCTGACGCAAGACACGGTCGACCGGGATAATAATAGTAGAAGAAAGAAGGGGCCCGACTAACGGTCTGTGAAGACAGGTCAGGCGGGACTTATCCAGAGAAACTTTTTCTAACTAACGTTTTGTTTTATGCCGGGTAGGTCTAAAGCGAAGAAGTAGATATAGTAGTTTTTTTTTTTCGATTTTGGGTTTTTAATTGTCGAATAGTAAATTATCTCTCGCTACCACTGAAGCGGGGCTCTTCAGGCTAAGGAGGCCTAGGAGAAGAGAGGCGCGTGAAAAGATGCTGAAACGAGCTGAACTCTGAATTTCTAGAAGAAAGAGCAGAGAACTGGGGAAGAAACCCCTACAACAAAGAGGCCAATTATATATTGGCCTCGAACAACGAAAACAAGGAAACTGACAGGGCCACTAAGGGGCGTGACTGGACTACACGGTACAGGAACAAGCCCCTGCGGCTACGAGATGACGAAAGAGAGAAGGAATGCCTCTTTCGGCATGAAATGAGCGAGCCTCCTGCGTTACGCAGGGGGGTCGCGAGTTCTACTCACCTCTGTGAGGCTTCTGAGCGGCCATCGGCCCCTGGCTCCTTGTAGCACGGCTACAGAGGGCCGCCCGCCGGCTAAACTACCATGTGGAACTTTGAAGGACAAAAAGCCCAAGAATCGAGTAGAAATCTTTTACTTTTTGCACATGGCACCGCGCACCTCATTAAGATCGTCAAGCAGGAGAAGAGGTAGAAGGGTACAAGGACTTGGTTACTGACTCCCATTGGCTAAACCCGGAAGAGGGATTGTCTACTCCAACTATCGGCAGAGCAGGAATTCGGCGTGGAAGTGGACAAGTCATGGATTCTGACGAAGCGTAAAGAGCAAGTCGAGGGCCATCAAAAAATCTATTTAAGGACTGCTTGGACCGGCCTCCAGTCCATCCTCACTCATCCATCACTCCATCTCAACCAACAACACCACTAACACTAAACCCAACAGCCCACAAACCCAACCAACCCAAAAAAACCCAACCACCATGCACTGCCTCTTTTACCTCGCTTGCTTCTTGGCCGTCCTCCAGTCGGCATTGGCCGTGCCAACTATTGCCCCGCGAGCAGACACTACCGCCACCAAAGGCCACTCCGACGAGAAGTGCTGGGGCGTTTACTCCTACTCGTGTTTCGGAGGCGGCATGTACTCCTTCAACTCACTTAGCTACCCTTGGTCTTTGTACGGCGCTTCCGCCTATTTGCCCTACAATTCTCTGCTCGGCTACCCCGGTTACCCTGGATATGGTGGACTCTGGAAGAAAGATGCTTCAGATGCTGGGAAAACACCCAGCTCATCGGTAAGACTCACTCCATCCAGCCATGTAATAATTTCCTCATGAATTGGCTGACGGATTCGATAATAATGCACTTTTTTCAGGCTTGAGCTTCCGATTCCACTAGGTCGGCATCTTACGATAACGATTCTCCAATCGGCGAAGGATTGATGTAGTAGTTCTAGTCCCAGACCTTTGGATTAATTTGTCGAACTTTGCCCACTTTCATGTATCATTTTTCCTGCCTTTCCGCTTCAATCTTAATACTTTTCATCGCGTCCTTCGCTGTTGATTCATTGTAACCAAAGCAGCTATATATTTTTTTATATTGTTTATTGCTTACCTCGCCAATCAATTATGATCAAAAACTGTTGCCAGCGAGAAGTTCTTGTTTCCACGTGCTTGAGATAGCTGTTCCGTCTGTGGGTACACTGACCCAGCTCAGTCGCCAAAGTATTTATTTCTGAGACCAAGGTCGATCAGGCCGTATTCCTGGCGTCCGATCCGGTCGCAGACAGTCATCCGGAGGCTCGTAAGGAGCCCATCCATCTCAAATCAATTCGTGACACCGTTGTCAATGTTCCTGCAACTTCCTTTACGGCGATGTGCAACACTATCTACCCATTCGCGAATGTTCAACGAGCTTGCCGGGGACTGTCGTCTCATTCAATCATCACTCAGAAGGAGAAAAATGAGGGTGTATCTTGATATTTCTAGCACAGGTGTTCTTTTGTTTTGAAACGAAGAGAAAAAAAGAAAGATCAGACCTAGACAAAAAAAATCAGAAAGAAAAAAAAAAAAAGATCACACAAAAAGAAGAAACAACCAAATGAATGTCTTGAAAAAGTTGAATGAGTTTGTGATCGGAGTACCAATTTTCTAAAAAAAAAAAAAAGAATTAGAGCCCCCCCCAAAAAAAAAAACGGTTGAACAACTTAATGATGGAGAGACAGAAAAGAAGAAGAAGAAATTGTGACGGATGAATGAAAGGTTATTTGATTGATTAGTGACAACAACAGTTAAAAATGAGAGAAGAAAAAGAAAATATTCAAGATGATTATATAAGCCCTAGCTCCCATTCCTGAAGCTCCTCCCCCTTCTCCTCTTCTTTTTAATTTACGGTTACCGAACAATGATGGTGCGTGTACATTTGTTATGTCAAAAAGGGAAACAAACGGAAGTATTCAAGAGTTTTTATTGTGAAGTTTTTGTTTTCGACCTGATAGTAAAACTGTTCGAACATAGAGCAAGAAGTCAGTATTGATTCTTTTAGAGTCTTGGTACAATCAAAACTTTGCAGACAGAACTGGAAGTAAATCGACTCACTTTGAATATATATGGAAGAAGCAGAAGGACACAAAAGATAAAGAAGGAGAGTGTATGTCCAAGAAAAAAAAAGGTGCGTAAATGAACGAGAAAGAGTAAATGGAAGAAGAAGAATGATTTAACGAGAGACACAGATGGCTTGAAATAAGCAACGCTGGAATCGAAGACAGACTGACAGAGAGAGATCGAAGTATTGAACGAATGGATGGGAAGAATAGAGAGAGAGAGAAAGAGCTAAAAGGAGAGAAAAAGAGCTAAGAGGAAGAAGGAGCCGAGATCCAGCGGAACTGAACGCCAGCCCTAATCAAATGATCGAGCGCATCAGAAGGCGCCCGTTTCCATTTACGGAAGAGGGAATGGGTCGAAGAATCGGCGACGATCTGGACGGTTTTGAGGCCGAAGAGGGCCGCCTGCGAGTGAGCTAGCCAGAGTTCATGAGCCGAGAAGCTCGAGGAATGGCTCAGGTCGTCATTCGAAGGAGCTCCCGAATCAAAGATCTCGATCGTCTGGAGTGTGAAGGGCAAGACTGAGAGCAGGCCGGTTGAACATAATGGACCGTCCGGAAGACTGAGGACGGTCAATCGGGAACAGAATGCAACGGGCTCTTCGAGTATGCCTTCGCCTGGTTGGCCGGCGAAACTGACCTTCCGCGTCAGTCGACCGGTCAGGGGGGCGTTCCAATCTTCGTCCAACGCCAGCCACTCCAAACTCCCCCCGACACGCTCGAAGGTCCGACTCAGCAAGGCCCGACCGCTCAACATCCGTCGTCCCGACCCGCTCGAACTGCTTGAGCTCACCGACGACGACAGACTCGGTTGGTCCATGTCCGCCTGCAGACACACCCTCAAGCTTCGGAGACCCCGCGGAGAGCCCGTCGCGGAGACGACCAGCCAGTGCAGTCGCTCTGGCGTTAGGGGGATCCCGTTCCCAAGCACCAGATGCTCGAGCGAGAGGTGGCTTTGAGTCGGCTTGTTAGACGACGTGCTCGACTGTGACAGTGGACAGGTGAGCGTTGAGCGTGCGGATTCTGCTGTCGAGGAGTGCGAAGGGATCCTGGAGAGGGTGGAATGGGGTCCAGTGACCGAGACGGTGCGTAGGGCGGCACCCTTGCCGCGGATCGTGCTGGACCGAAGCCCGTCAACGAGCGTCACCAGATCGTGGAACTGTCCACCACCCTCGACATACAGCTCCTCCAGCCCACCAAGTAATCCGGATAAGACGCTAAGCGATTTGAGACCGCGCGTTCCTAGTCGCTCCTCGCCGATTAGACAGCAAAGCTTCATCGAGCGGGCCAAGGAGAGGAATAAGGAAGGAAGACTACCGGCGAGGACGATCTCGTCCAAGTATGCTTCCGACTCGGGTCCCTCGCCGACGCCGTCAGCCTCAGTTCGAGCACGTCTTGGTTGTTGGGGGTCGTCGAGGGGCGAGAGAGAATTTAACTTAGTATTCCGACTCGTCGTTACTTTCTTGTCCGGTGGCAGGGAGGGAATCAGGACTGAGTGGAACCTCTCACACTTTTGTCCCGAGCGAGAGCTGATCAAGGCCTGTCTAGCCAACGGCAAGGACTGTCGACTAGTAGGAGGGGTCCGGTTCTGGGTGGGTTGGTTCTGAATTTTTCGGACCGACGGATGGGAGGATCTGCCGGGTTGCTTGGGCGTAAGAGGGGAGGGTTTAGAAGAAACATTCTCAGTTGCGCCTGGTGTTGATCGACGGGGGGAATCGAACTGGGGTCCTGTTCTTCCTCGGGGTGGAGGTAATAGGGTGATGATGCAGGTCTGGACCTGATTGGCCAGATGGCTGTCGGCTTCGAACCTCTGTGCGATCTGATCGACCATCTTGGCGGTACCCAAGAGGAGGGTAGACCAGGCGGCCTTGCGGGCAATGGGGCTGAGAGTCTTGCAGAGGCCGATCAAGGCGTGTCGGTTCTGTTGTGCTTCCAGGGCGAGCTTGAGGTGTGTGGAGAGTGCCTTGGGAGATCGAATGGAGTTGGTGGATTGGAGTGTTGATGCTTTGTTTGATGATGATGAGGAGGAGGAGGATGGATGTTCGGGAATGAGGGCTTGGATGGTGTCGAGTTGATTGTAGAGGAAGATCTGATACCAGATGTGAGAGGGGAGACCGAGGATGGGTTGAGGTGCAGATGAGCGACGGATTTGATGTTGACGCGATGATGATGATGATGATGATGGTGGTGGTGGTGGTGGTTGCGAGCAGTCGAGTTGATTGTGGAGCTGCTCGAGGTCTTCGCTAGAGCTGATGGTGACTAGTTTGGGTTTCTTGAACTGAGGAGGGGTATCTGAGGATGTGATGGCGATATGAGTAGCCCGACAGATGGTGCCTGGTTGGTTGTGTGAGTTGTAGGATGAGAATGAGTTGAATTGGTTTGATTCGATGGATTGATTGGATTGTTGGTCAGCTTCATCTCGCTTCCTTTTTGATCTGATGCTGAGTTGGTTGTACTTGAGTTGGACGTTGAGTTGGTCAGCTGAGCATGCTTCGGTTGAGGGGATCTGTTGGATTGCTGGTTGATGATTGCTGGCTGAGATGGCATTGAGTAAGTCCCTCATCGAGATCGGGTTGCTAGTGCTTGTGACGAATGGTCTGATATCATCTAGGTCGGGTACTAGGAATGAAGTTTGGTTTTCGAGGGGTGTTGATAGTGCAGTGGGTTGTATGGGTGGTAATGGTCTTGATGATGATGGTTGGTTTCTGTTGTTGAGTTCTGATCGTGGCTGTTTCTTCCTCCAGAATGCTAGTCGTTCGAGTATCCTCGTCATCTTCTTCTCTTGTGCTTTTGGTTTTGTTTGAGTTGGTTGGAGGTGTGTGTGGGTTGGAGGTGTGCCCTTTTTGATTGTAGAAGTTCAACTTCCTTCATCAAGGGGGGGCCAACAGCACACCCGAAGGGGGGCCAGGGCTTGTGACGATCTATGTACGTAAACCCCCACTACATGCCACACATCACAGCCACATCCTGCAGCTTCCTGCAGTCACTCGAGTCCGCGGGTGGCAGCTGAAGTGACCCTGTTCACAATTCCTGGTCATGGGTTAGGTAGCTTCCAAGGCAAAGCCCGTCACTCAAGGCTTCCTTGTAGTCAAGAAGCACCATCAGACATCCAAGCCATTCTCACTGGAGCAATCATCCAAATATGTATGTACCGTAGCAGGGCCCACAGGCCACAGGTCTAACTATGTACACTGCCCAAGTCTCTGTCACCTACTTGCACCCCCATTAATCCTCTACTCACATTGCAATATCCTGACTGATTTTTGTCTCATTCAATTTGTCCCCCAAGATAGAAATTTCAAATTCAATTTGCCATTAGCCATCATCATATCCTCTCCACATGTCACTCACCCAACATCCTTGATAAGAACAAAGTCTCTTTATAACTAAAATCCATCCATCATGTATTCAATTTATATTATCAACCACTTCAAATTTGCTTGCATCTTAATTCTTCAATATCATCATCCGTGGTGTTTCAGCAAAAAAAAAGTGAAATATGGGACAGAAGAACTCCTAAATCCAGCCAATATAATAAGGCAACAATGAAGACTGGTAAGTTGAATAAAATCCTTTCAAAATCCGATATCCATAGTTCTCACAAAAAATAAACACTAATTTGAAACAGAATTTTGTCAAAATGATCAATCAAAATTGCATGGCAACATTTATGCAAGTCAAATAAATCCCAACACATGCACTCCTGAGGATCAAGAGATTAACATCAGAGTATTTATAAATTCTAGTCACCAAAGACACATTTAAACTCAAGTACTGGAAAAAAGATAAAAGTTGGGAGTGTCCAAAACATTCTATCCCATGGTGCTGTGATGTGTCAAGTATCCCCTTCATTTTAGACCACTTGATTGATCATGATAGTCTTTTATCTTACTCATGCTAACTTCATCCTCATCATTCTCTACCTGGACTTCATTATGCTTCTAGGAATGTGAAAGCCAACCATAAACATAAATTCACCAAGTAGTGTTGCCAGTGAAAGCTTGAGTTCTTTCACCAAGACATCCACCACCAGATCACTAAGGTGTTCTTTGATCAGTTCTGATTATGAACTTCATCCCCCTGTAACCTACAAGAACAAACACCCCCATTTTCTTCTGCTTTCTAGAATAACTCAAATTCATCTTGTGTTATATTTATCAGTATAAGAATTCACATTGTCATCAACAGTTGAAAAATCTAACAAGAGAAAATAATTTGCAATTTACAGAAATACCCCACCTTCCTCCACCCCACATAGTGAATTAGGGGCTTGGTTGATCTACTCCCTAAAATGGGAGGATCAACTAAAAAATTTTAGGGACATTGGAAGGACAACCCCCGGGTGTCCTCTCCTCTAGTTTTTTTCCCCTCAAGGCTTTGGGAGTCAACAACCCAAACAATTTTATAATAAAAAAATACGGTTCAGGAGTTGATCCTCCAAAACTAACTGTGGTTGTGGGAGTTGGCACCCAATTAGTTCTACCTGGAAAAGAAAAAAAAAACATTATATAGAAATCTCAGCCATTGAGAGGGATTCCTCTCTTGGAGAGGCATCCTCTTGGCGGCCAAGAGTGTACCCCCTGGGTGGCCGGGAGGTACTTGGGCCGTTGAAAGTGTATCTCAACAGTTGACAACACGTCAACTCCATCTCGATTTCCCATGAACAGGAATCTTGACTGCACAATGTTTTCATTGGCTTTACGGTTACCCACACTCCAAAGTGGTAAGAATCTTCACGAATAAAGATACAAATCCCCTTGCCATTTTCATTATTCCCATCACATGACTTGGCTCATCTTGGCAGTGGCAACATCATCTCCTGATGGAGGGACATGCAGAAAAGTGCACCTGGGGAGAAGTCAAGCATTCAAAAAAGATCGAAGAAAAGTGCGCCACGAAACTATCCCCCCGGCAGCTCTATTAGGGGGGTTCACGATAGCTTTTTTGGCTTATGGTCCCCCCTAAAATAAATTCTTGCTGGTCACTTTTTTGGCCTAAAAATTAACCTAAAAAACTGGCACAAACATCGGCCAACACGCAACAAATCCTTCTGGCCATCGGTTAAATTTATAAGCCATCATAAGAGTTTACTTGCCCCCAATAATTACATGTATGCTCAACTGTCTCGTATTCCATCTCATTCAACAGCCATTTATCAAGTCCAACCACTTTGGTACCATTTCCCTTTTAATAATTTCATACTTCATTCAGAAGAATCGAACGAAGCGGCTACAAAAATGTAAGTGAAGCTCATGATTTCATCTGGAAGGCTTATGTATTCTCAATCAAGAAACTCCTAAATGAGCCTTACTTGACCAAGACATCAATATAAATGTATGATCTTCTTGGCCTTGAGCCGACAAACATTCAAGTGGGAGATGGTTTGGGTCAATCCGATCTCATATGGATGATAAAGAGAACCGAGTAGATTCTGAGTGAAGAACACCGGGCATCCTATGTACATACAACAGTGATGGCAATTGGGTATTCAAGTATCGATTAGTCAGTACCAGATGCAAGAGATCCCTCACGATTGATTTGTCCTTGAACAGAACGTCTATCACCAAAGCTCGGCGCGGATCGCTAGGTACTACAACACGGACGAGTGAGGGAACGGTGGGGTCAATGAGGTCGTTGGTTTCTTGCTGGGAAAGAAGATTAGTATCATCAGGAGATCTCCAAGGATTTGTTGTCGTTCGATGTATTTGTGCATGGTGAGAGGTTGGGGGGGGGGGATGGCCGGTATCAGTCTGTATCAGTGCACTGAGGTTATCTGGAGCTGCCAAGCAGTTACGTTCACGAGACAGGTCAGCTGCTAACATTTCTGGTGTGAAAGTTCTGGTGAGTTAAAAATTGATTAAAATTTTATTGTGCGCAGCATGCGCAACCTTTCTGGTGGGACGATAAAAACTTTCTGGTGAAAGGCTATCGTGAACCCCCCTATTGTGTAGCAGGCATGCTGGCTTTATTACAGTTTGAGAATTTGTTTATCACGTGCGGGATGGGGGGTCCTCAGCCCTAGAACAACGCCATCTGAAGCACTGCTTACGGTCTAGCTTAACCAAAGCCCCTCAATTCGTCGGGCCACCAGGTGGCGGGCGCAAGCGCCCCTCGCGAAGCGAGCCTCCGAAGGAGGGGCTTGCCAGTAAACTCCATGCATCGGCCCGAGGGCTTACACGATTTTGGTGGGAGATAATTGCCTTCATGACCCCCCCGGTTTCCTGTGAAAAATATTGTTCCCCTGTTGGATCATTTTGACCGCGTACTTCTAGCCTCTGACACATCCAAAAACCAACAGCCCGTGGTCCTCAGGCGCAATGCATTGGGCTGTTGAATTTTGGATTTTGGGAACGTTGGACTGCTCGATGACCCTATATTAAAGCATAGCCCATAAATACAGTCTGATTTGCTTCTGTACGATCACATAGTGCATAAGGTGGCTGCACGCGTACTACAGCTCAGCTGAACACACATCCTGTAATTACTCTTGTACAGCGATAATACTGCTCAGGTCGCATGATTATCAAGACTAGTGTCTAAGGGCGGCTTCGCCGCCGGTTTATTTCTAAAAGTGATATAATACATTTTATAGTATTACTATTTGACAAAAACTAATCTAAATCCATGCATACCCCTAAGCTATGAACTGGAGTAAATAAATGTTTATTCACCACATTCACTACTTTCTCCTCTCCTCCAACCTGGGTAACTATGTAATAGATTTTGGACTTGCCTCACCCTTGATAAGCCTACATACAACTGACCATGCACAAAAGTTTGACTCTCCAAGACTAATTCAACACAATCCATGCTTTGTCCCTGACATTTGTTAATTGTCATGGCAAATGCCAAAGCCACGGGGAACTGATATCTGTAGAAAGAGAATTTTAATGTTGATTTTCTTTCATAAAGTAATGTAATCTTGGGTATTAAAACACTTCTGCCTTTAAATGGTCCGCTCAAAATTCTTCCACACAGCAACTTTTGACTAAGCCTTTCAATAACTAACCTGGTCCCATTGCATAGTCCTTGTGAAATTCCTAAATTTTGAAGTAACATTATGGGAGCCCCAACCTTAAACTCCAAATCATAGTTTGGGAAGCTGGCAATGTCTAATTTATTCAATGCTTCTATTGCTATTGCCCCTTCTGTGCTGTCATCGGGCCTGTCAATTGCAATCAAAATTATCGCCTCTGAATAAAGATTTCTTATCATAGCTTTATGGATTTTAGCTGCGTCTGTGTTTAGTGTGGTCAAAATCACACTTTCACCCAAACACTTAGTGTAGAAATCGTAATTTTGGTTGATGTTCAAACTTAAATCCCTGGAATAAAAGACAAGTTAATATTGTGGGTATCTGCATCAATTTTAGAAGAGAGGATCAAGGAAAGGATGCCGGATTGGGTAAAATGAGGTCCATAAGAATAGGAACACGACTGACCGTTCCACACAGAAAGCCGAGAAAGAAGCATTGGTTTTAGCTAGCTCTGAGATCGAGGGGTAATGGATATAGTAGTTGAACAGAATCCCCTGTTTTAGGGTAATTGAGAGCAGTAAAGTTGTTGATTGAGAGGAGTGTTAATTGGATATGGAAAATAAATATTGGGCGAAAAATGCTACCACTGTGGCTGTGTTGTGTGGAACCTGAAGAAGGCAAAGAGTATGGTTTCAGGGAGTAAGGATAGGGCTGCGGGGGGTTGAACGGCAGATTTATCCCATTTGACAGGTTCCTCAAGGTACAATTAATTTCCTCTATCAGAAGCCAAGACGGCT